CAAATCGCAACCAGTCTTGTTGCCATTGGAGTGCTTGCGTGTAGTGGAACATTTCATCCGTAGCAACCCAGCCATGTGTATCACACATAAATTCTGTTCTGGCTGTGAAATCGGAGAAAGCCGGCAATGTCGGTGGAGCTGCAAGGTTGTGGTGGTGGCCACCAACATGCACTGGGGCAGGCCAATACACATCAACAATGTCACCATCCTGGAGAGGAACTCCCGTTGATGGCACATGGGAGCCATTGACTTGACTGATAGTGAGTGGCTGACACGTGTCGTTGATGGAAAAGTCGATCTGTTGACAACCATCTGGCATACAGGCTCCAACGACAAAGCTCTTGTTGATCCTGACAATAATCTCTGCTGCTTGTGGATGCTCACAGAACTGTGCAGTAGAGATCAAAAGATATTGACAAGGTTCTCCCTGGATGCTGCAGAATCGCTTGTTTCTGTCTGAAAAGAGTGGCAGACTGGCCACACGCTGCAAAAACTTGGATTGCTCATCATTCGAGATGTACACAGTGATGCTGAGTTGCTCTGGCAAAACTACCACTGTTGCTGCATATTTGGATAAAGCAATATCGTCTTGCAGTGTTTCGACGATTCGCTGGATCTCGAGGAAGATGCTGTACTCACAGTGGTCGTCAAGGTTCCGGATGGGCAGCAGTGTAGTTGAAACCGCTCGCTCACTGGAAGACTCATCGATGACCTTAGTACGAGCGTCGGGACGCAAGGTTGCATGAAGCTCGCAATGGCCAAGTGTGGCAAAGCCGAGAACAAGCCGAAATGTGTTCTCTTGGCAGGCAATCTGTTCGATGGTAGTGCGATTGCATATGCGTATGTCTGAATTCAGACCACAAATTTGCAGGAGCAGGTTTTGCGGGATGCAACATCGTTCACGAAAGATCTGCTGAATGGTCTGATCTGAATGAACCTGAAATTCAAACTTGACATCAGCGCAACTACCTGCCATGGTCCACTGGGCCTTGGAGCGGTCTATTCCTGGTTTGATGGAAACCCACTTCCAGAAGTCCTTGATGGGGATCAAATGAACAAGTCCATCCTGAGCAAACAAAATGGCATTATAAGCAGTCAGTCGTTGAGCCCACACTTCCCTGACAAGTCCAATCGGGTCAACAGCACACGAACTGGTGGCATGCAGAACAATGGACAGGGCAAGGACTCCATGTGGGACGGTGATGGCATTGCCTACGAAATGGAATGACTCTTCAATCTTCTCAGAAAGAACAACGTGCTCAGTCGTTCCAAACAGGCTGCAGAACAAGGCCGGGTCAAGAAACCGGAATCCGGATGCCGATTCCTGCAGACACGCAAAAATGCCTTTCTGTTTCAAGTGATGCTCAGCCAGGTGGTGTTGCCTCGAATATGAGGCACACAAGGTCGGGAGCACATCTGATCCATTTGGGATCCTGGATCTGATGACCTCGTTGGTGGCTGGCTTCTTGTTCTCGAACCTGGCACGTTTGGCCGGTGGCAAGAAATGAACTGAGTCATACATCCTGCATTCAGAGTCCGACAACTGCAACTGCGAAATCCATCGTGATGGGATGGGGAATTGATAGCACTGGTCAGTCCAATGAGTGCGAGGAAAACTCGGCAGCCTCAACTGAAATGGAAAGGCCTGCATCGTGAGGTCCGCACGAACCCACACTCCCAACCACCGAGATCTGGCATGTGAGGTCATGACATGGTACGGAGTGACCTGATCCCACACTAATTTGTAGCCCAAGGCACTTGCAAGGGCTTTGACAATCTTGAAGTGAGGATGTGTGACTATGTCATCCGCACATTCGGCAGCAATGCTAGTCGTCTGGACAGAAAAAGCCAACACCAGTGCATCTAAAAATGCTTGTCCGTTGGAGTCTTCGATGCCGGCTCGGAGCCCTCCCTTGCTCCAACTCTGACATGGCGGAGACATTGTGACTACCAGATTTGCTTGGGACCTGCATGCATCAATAATCGAAGGATCAGCGATGTTCCCGCAGAGTCCTACGTTCTTTGCATGTGACCAGGCTTGGTTGGCGTCCAATGGTAGCCTACGAAATTCAGCACAGTGCTTGGCGTTCCACACGGTCATCACCTGTGGGTCTCTGTCGATGAACATCTCTTGTCCAAGGCACAATCTTTGGGTCTTGTCAAGCCAGCGGACGGCCTGACTCCATCCACCATATGCGCCGCAGAACAAGTGCATGACATCAACTGGTAATGTCGGCTCGTGTTCAGGCCTGAAACAAACGCGAGCATTTCTCAATGTCAAGGTGTTGCCATCAAGCATGGAAGAACAGTCGCCGATGCAAACCACTTGGATGCCAGGGCAAACATGCAAACACTTGTCGCTCAACCCTTGGAATGCAATCCTCACATTCAAAGTGTCTTTGTCGCCCTGAAAACCAGCTTTCGGAACAAACCACAAGGCTTGTAAAACAATCCACTCATCACCAAACGATGTCACGTTGCCGGCCACGAAGGTCGAGGGGCCGATCGAGGGGAAATACCCTGCCTTCAGGCCAGAAAAAAGGCCAAACACCCCATTCCTCACAGATTCCTGGAGGTCGCCCCACACGGGCTCCAGCTCATCCATGGCGCGAGAACACACGCGGGTCACACCAGCTTCAAGGCACAACCTGAGGCCTGCGGCCAGGTAGGCTGGCCGCTAGTGGACACTGCCTTTCAGCCGCGAGGCCAAACAGGCAGCCGCAGGGGGCCAGTCTCCTAAGCCTTAGGGCTTTGGGCCCAGAAGCTGCATTACTACTAGTAACAAAAAGCTACTAGGAACAAGTGCATCGGGGCTCCTGGCTTTACTACTAGTAACAAAAAGCTACTAAGTGATTTTTTTTATTATTTTTTTTTATGCCCCGACTCCGTTGAACCGGACTCCACCAGGCCCCAGGTCACTAGACTCGGGGCCACCAGGTCTCTAGACTCGACTCGTTCTTGAGACGACCGACTCGACTCGCTCGGGGAGGAACCCTTTGAAAAAGATGTTCCTTGCGGTTCGAGTGTTGCCGTTGAATTGTTCGTGATAATTTTGTGACACTGTTTCAGTGTGGTTGTGTTCACGGCATTTGGCACCTAGCTTTTGGTTCACACCAGCTCACGGCAAGCTTTTGAGAGGTATTCGGAACTCGCATCCGAATCAACGACCTGAGCTGCAAGGCAGTCAAAGCCCATTGTTGTGACCCCACTATTGTACAAAGTTGTCATGGACATGTCATTTACGCTGCTGAATGGAGAAGTGATGTGCCTCACGGGCATCGCGCCAAGCATCACGGGCCGTGAACTCAAGGAGAAAATCAAAGAGCAGCGAATGTCGGAGGAGGAGCTGACATGCCGAACCAATTGGGTGGAGCTGGTTCTAGAAGATGGCAGCTTGCTGGAGAACGATGAGACGCTTGCAGATGCGGCCCTTTCTCCAGAAGCCAATGTCACTGTCCTCTTTAAAGAGAACTCCGTGAGATGCTCTGACAAAGGTGCCTTCTCGCAGTTTGGCCGTGAGATTGACTTGGAGTCTTTGATTGTAGTCGAAATCCCAAACACTGAAACTGAAATTTGTTCATGCACCTTTAACGACTGCATTGGACACGATGCTTTCAAGAATTGCAGCTCTTTGATGAGCGTGACAATTGCTGACTCTGTGACCCATATTGACGATAGTGCCTTCTATGGGTGCAGCTCTTTAGCAAGGGTGACCATCCCGGACTCTGTGACCCACATTGGGGCTTGTGCTTTCATGAAGTGCAGCTCATTGACAGCCATTACCATTCCCAACTCTGCAAGATACATTGGATTTTGTGCCTTTGAGTTCTGCGACTCCTTGAGAAGTATGACCATCCCTGCCTTGGCGAGCCAGAATCCGATTCGTGCGGGCTGGTTTGCAAGCTCCAACTCTTTAGAAAATGTGACCGTCGCTGATGGAGTGACGCGTGTTGGAAGTTGTGCTTTCAAGAACTGTAGCTCCTTGACAAGTGTGACCATCCCCAACTCTGTGCACTTCATCGGGGATGAAGCCTTTCAACTCTGTAGAAAGTTGGCAAGTGTGAGCATCCCTGACTCAGTGACCCACATTATGGATAATGCCTTCAAGCAGTGCAGCTCTTTGGCAAACGTGACCATACCCAGCTCCGTCTGCCGAATTGGCCATTCTGCTTTCCACAGCTGCTTCTCCTTAGCAAGTGTGGTCATTCCCAACTCTGTCACTCACATCGGGGAAGGTGCCTTCCAATTCTGCAGCTCCTTGGAAAGTGTGACTATCCCTGATTTTGTGACCCAAATCAGACCTGACGCCTTTGCAGGCTGCAGCTCTTTGGCAAGTGTGACCATCGCTGACGCAGTGACACACATTGGGAATGGAGCCCTTATGAACTGCAGCTCCTTGGCAGGTGTGACCATTCCCAATTCTGTGACCTGCATTGGGGATCGTGCTTTCATGAACTGCAGCTCTTTGGTGAGAGTGAGCATCGCTGACTCTGTGACCCATCTTGGGGATGGAATCTTCGAGGAATGCAGCTCTTTAGCGAGCGTAATCATCCCCAACTCTGTGACCCACATTGGTTGTGGTGCCTTTGAGAGTTGCAGCTCCTTATCAAGTGTGATGATCCCCAGCTCCGTCGCGGAGATTTTGTGGGGCACCTTCATGAATTGCAGCTCCTTGACCAGTGTGACCATCCAAAACCCTCTAACCCAAATTTCGGACACTTGCTTTCAAAACTGCAGTTCTAGATTGGAGGTTCATCTCCAGACTTAGGCGAGGCTTTGGAGCGCCCGGCATGCTTGTTGAGTGATTCTTGGTGAGCCGCCGGCGACGTTCCGGGCGACGTGACAGAACCCGACAGCTCGGCGGCCAGAAGAAACGGGCCGTTGGACAATGACCAGAGGTGGAATGCCAAAAGGGATGCAGGGGATGCTTCCTTCGACTGCCCCCCTTGGGGAAGCTTGAAGATCTTGAAGCCGCCGAAGCCATCCAAAGCCATGCGCAGGTACTCCTGGATCCACCGCTGAGAAGTTCGCCTCTGCTGTGGGCTGCGACATGACTTACACGTACCAGGCCCTTTTGGTTACTTTCGGAACAATTTCTCGAGTTCGTTGGTCATTGGATGACGCCATTTGATTATCGAGTGAGCTGGTGCCGACCAGATGCGTTCCTTGCTAGTCCAAAAAGCATTGAGGTGTATTTAGCTTGGCGTTGTTTACAGTGGATCTGTAAGAAACCAAGAATGGACACCAGAGCGTGACAGGTGCGACGTTCCTTGGCGAACTTGATGCCGGGAAACCCAGTGGCAAAGGATGGCAAAGGGTGTTTCTTGCTACTGAGAGGAAGCCCCAGACCTTTGCAGACCATGATTTTCTTCTTTCTCGCCTTTGTGTAACCTTTCCTTTGTGAGGAAACAAAGCGTTGGAAGAATGCCAACTCGAGAACGGCCTGCTAGGTTTGAACAATGCAGCTCCCGATGCCTATTTGACTTCGACAACCCCAAAGTGGCCTATGCCTGGATTGAAGGCAACAGCTGTTGGCTGAAGACAGGCACCGGGCCGCGTCAAAAGTGTCATGATCGATACAATAAATGAAGGATCAGCGTTTGAGCGACCCAACAGATGACCCTTACCGTGGTGGTATTTTGAAAGTTCACTCTAAACAAAGATGTTCGTACAAACTCGAACTTTCACGGAGCGTGCCGAATGAGTCTCAATTGATGGGAACCAGCCACCAGCCCTCATAAAAATGTTCTGAGGGTTTTGCATACTGTAGGCAGCCTGAGTCTGAGTCTGAGAAGTGTCTCTCAATGCAGCAAAGGCTGTGTGTGGTCAGCACCAAAGGCAGAGGCACAGGTGATGAAGAGTTGCCGCTCTCCGCCCCCTTGTTCCACGGCAGCACCGTTGCAGACCATTGCGGCTTCCGCTACGAGCAGCAGGGCGCCCTGCTGCGCAAGAAGAGTTTCTGCAAGGAGACCTCCCTGCTTCTCAGGGTTCTGGTCACCAGGGACACCAGACCGGGACAATTGACGGACTTGGTCCAGTTGGGAATTCGATTGGAATGGCAAGACCTACGTCGTGGGCTTGTCAAAGGGAGGTCCACAGAGCATGTGTGCCGCGAAAACGATTCGGAAATGGCCGAAGTGCCTGATGGATGCCCACGGCCCCAAACTTTAGACCATGATCTTTCCAGCACTCATACAAACGGAGAACCGTCAGAGAAACTATTTTCAAAAAGTTTCATCCCTAATCGCCCCACTAACCGTGGTTTTGGCCACAGGAGGTCCCAACATGTTAAATTTTCCGGGATCCCCTAACCCAAGTCAAATCTCCACAGGTACCTATGTAGTAGTACTTAGTTGGGGGGAGGTGGGGACTCAAAAAAGGTACTGTAATACGTTGGAAGTTAGTTGCATTTCTGCATCCCCTGAAGCCCAAGATTTTGCATTTTTTGGCAGGGTGTTGCTTGTAACTTCATGATCTTGACACTCGAGTAGAGATGAGTGTGCGATTCCCAGGAAAATGAGGTTACATTAATCAGACCCCCAGGCTTTTGAGTGGAATTGCAGGGGGACCTGCAAAATGTGGCATTGCATCTTTTAACATTATATTTTTTAACGTACCAAACATGCTTGAAGGACATATTATCTTTTTCAGGTGCCAAATCATGGAACCATGTAAGTTACTGTACATTTTGGCACCTCCACCCGCTGTAATTTGTGCCAGTGATTTTTCTATGAGTAACGCCCAGCATTCCATCAGGTCCTGTAGCGATGGCCTCCAATCTAAGTGCGACTGCCTCCAACCTAAGAGCGATGGCCTCCAACCTAAGAGCAATGGCCTCCAACCTAAGAGCGATGGCCTCCAACCTAAGAGCAATGGCCTCCAACCTAAGAGCAATGGCCTCCAACCTAAGAGCAATGGCCTCCAACCTAAGAGCGATGGCCTCCAACCTAGAATTCTGCATATCCAGGCTCAGTTTGTTTCTCATGAACACCTTTGCATTGCCTGGACATGTTGCTGTGCAGGACGAGCGCATCAGAGTGAACGAGGCGGGCCGACTCTTCTGCTCCTTTAACCTTCGGATGGGCAGAAAGTGGGCGGAACCCCGAATCATGCCTGAAACAACGTGTTCCAACAGATGCCAGAAGCTGAACGACTGGATTATGGTAAGTCAACACCTTTCCTAGCATGTGACTGCAGCCGGACATGTTGTCGCCTAGGATGAACTCGTGCATGAACGATTTTCCTCTGAATGGGCACTTTCGCAGCTCTGTACGGGATCCTAATTTGTTGGGATCCCTTGGTGCTTTAAGACCACAGAAAGACGCTTTGTTACCAGGCGGCAGAAAACAGCCTGCAATCGTTGGTAAACATAATCTATGATGAGCTAGGTGTGTTTGTAGATGTTTGAAGGTATTGGGTGTTGTAGACGGAAAGGCCAGTTGTGGCTCGTTGCATATTCTGGGAGACTCCCTGAGCTGAGCGGATGCTGAACGGCCACTATGGTCACAACCTTGATTTCAATGGACGTGACTTCGTGATACTTCGTGTTGATTTACGGCCAGATGCTATTCATATATCTTCACAACGTTGAAGGATTGACTGGCGCTCTTGACATAACCGCTTGTGAACCCTGGGCAGATATGGACGACGTGTTCCTCCTTCGTGTAAGTGTAGGATTTTTCGTTGTGCGGGCGCTGCCATCGTGTCGTTTGACCTGCAGGAACTCGTTCCGGTGCCCTGCCAATTTTCCAACAGTGACACACACACACGCGCAGACACCCACTGTCCAGGCCATTGTCCCGTCCTGAATCGTTGAATGTTTCCTTCATCGTGCCTTCCTCTGAGTTTCTCACTGTGTATAATATATAGTTGGTTAGTTCGCCTTGAATTGTCAACCTTATACAGTTGATTGTGCCCTGCTGAATTGTCTAACTGAGCTGATCATACCATGCGCCATCGTTGCCAACCCATGAGTTGATTGCTGCATCCAGCCCAGAGGAGAGGGGGAAGACAGAGACGGCGAGCGCATCGCCCCGTGTCCTGGGCTTCAGCTGCTTGGTGACCCGCTCTCTGCGGCAGAGTTGTGTGAGCCCATGGCCGTTGCAGCCGCGCTGGAATTTATGCAACTGTATGATTGACATGTGCACCATGTCCGTTGTTGCAGTTGATTTGCAAGCACTTGGTGCGAGTTGTCGCCAGGATGGCTGTGTGCCGTTCTCCGGGAAACTCTCCAATGATTTCATGAAACAGCAATGCGGTGCCTCGGATCCGACACTTTGAACGTGCTAGCGAACACGGCGTTCGGTCTTTCCGGGAATGGGCGTTTTGGGAGAGAGCAAGATTGGCCATGCGAGTTGTTGGCAAACAGTTAGTTAGTCAGTTAGCAATAGCAAGTTATACTTTAGACTATTCGCTTTGAATAGCCCTTCACTGTGATCTCATCCTTTTGAATCTGATCCTCGGTGATGGACTCTCCATGGCTCGGCCTTCCACAAGGTGATTTGCTGCACTATCCAGTGGACATCAGCGAGCATGCAAGGAGACTGAACAAATGCAAGGGGATTGTCCACCGTATCACCTATGACATCCTATGACAACAGATCGCAAGTAATATGTACATTTATGGAATACAAACTTATATATGTTTGACAGTGACGGGCTTGACTTTGGACCAAGCAGTAGGAATGAAACCTGTGACACTTGGATGATGTGGAACATCCAGCGCCATGTAGGTTTTGTCAGCGTCTAAAAGAATCCAATTCAGAACAGTGTTGGTCTCTTCAATGTTTTGTTGGTTTCGCAGGGCATGCCACTTCACCGACACGCCCATGGTAAAGAAAGCCTTGGCAAATCTCATGTAGCCCGGCAAGCAATTCAACCAAGGCCGCTGACGCGGCGAATCCCGTGCGGCAGAATTCACGCGAACTGTGAACCAAATGGGGCTTGGTCTTGGCCTATGCTGGTTTGAGGCGTGTATGAGCTCAATTTACAAAGCATCATAAATATTTGGGTGTGAACCACAGGGTAGAGGCGGGTTTCCACCCACAACCACTTGAAACATTGAAACATTTACAGTAGGCCCCGGTATTCAATTGCTGAGTTTAGACTGCCACGATGGCGCACAAATCTTCCTTTGGCATCCACAGCTTCCTTGTGCGGGGTGCATTTCTTCTATTTCAGTGTAGTTCATATTTGGGTCCTGCTGTTTGCGTTCGAGCACCTGTCTTCTTTTTCTACAGTTCTTCTAGCCACCCTCGAAAACTCATAATCACAACAAACCCAGAAAACATATACACATTCATGAAAAATAGCCGCCCGGAGTTTGTATACTACACCACTGAAGGAAAATACCACAGAAACGGTTTGTCCCATGGAAGCTTTCACTGCTCGTTTCGGGGTCGGAATTCCTGTGGAAGGTGCTGACCTATGATTAGAATCTCGGGAACGTCATAGCCCAGGTTTAGCCAGTGTGGTGCGCAATGCCTTTTCGACTATGACTTTCCTCATGGACGATGGTACGGCTGGAATGCACAGTCACACTGCTACGAGAAGAACCCAGCAGGCACGGTTTCTTTGGCTTTCCTTGTTTGGATCACAACCAATCAGAATAGGAGCATGTGGTTTAAAATCTTAGCATGGCCGAACAGTTGAACATCTTCAACTTGCTCACAAAAGGCTGCGGTGACATGCATTTTGAGTTTTACTCTTCTCCAAAGATCAAGACCCTCCAAGGGTCTCCACATGCACAGTGCTGTGACTCTGATTTTGTTATCATTTCCACTCTCATGTGCTGGCAGATTTTTGTTCAAGCATATCATTACATACATTGCTGTGTTTAGCTCCCAAACTTTCACGAGTCTGCAGCCCGTCAGCTGCGCGTGAGGCTGTAAGGGCACTGAGGCCCAAGCTTTCGCCATCGAACGAAAAGCCTTGGCCTGCAAGGCGAACCGTCGCTTTTGGTGTCAAAGCGTCAAACTGTTGACAGTCTGAAACTGATGTTGCTGGAGCACAGAGGATCACAACTCGACTCTTGCTGGAAAGCAAAACATTTGGATATGCCTTGCACCATTTGGATATCCCAATTTGGAACCTTTCCTTTCAATCTCCCAGGCCGGTTAGCTGGATGGCAGGGCGGGACCTCGCCGCCTTGTCACCGTTTGGGCTTCGGAAAATGGATTGATCCGTCCGCGGGGAGGGACCTGAAACCAGCCGCGGAGGCACGACAAAGCTGACTGCACGACACGAACCCCTCAATTCCTTCGTAACAGCCACGTGATGTCCGATTTCCAGGTACAGAATTCATGTTTGCCGATCCCATCTACTCTACTTTCACTTCAACCTTCCACCAATTCATTGCTTTATGGAATTTTATGGATGTAAGTGCTTTCAAGTGGCTTCAGTCTGTAATGCCTTGGTCAGGAGTCTGTATTTATGGAGGTAGGTCGACCTCGCTTCAGCGTTTGCAGCTCGACCTTGCTCAATCCTGGCCGGGTCGCTGGAACCTTGAACCAAGGGCCATATTCAAAAAGGGGCCTCGGCTGTGCGGAATTTGCTCGCCTGTACACGCGCTTGGATTTGCTCGGTTGTGCACGCGCTTTCTCGGTTGTGCACGCCGCTTTGCTCGGCTGTATGAATGAATGAACGAACGAACGAATGAATGAATGGATGAGTGGATGAATGAGGGACTGAAGGAGTTTGTGAAACATGAATGAGTGAATGAGCGAGTGAATGAGTGGATGAATGAGGGACTGAAGGAGTTTGTGAAAAATGAATGAATGAACGAACGAATGAATGAAATGAAGATGTTCATGATAATGATAATGAAAAGTGAAAATAAAATGACATGACATGAAATGAAACGAATGAAATGAATGAATGAATGAAGAACGCAGAGCATCTGTGTTACGTGGTACTGTGGAAGCAGTTAGCAAAAAGAGATCATCATGTAGATGAATGTCCAGAGGGACGTTATTAACACCCCCCCACCCCCCCATCCCAACCCAACAACATCAATCAAGTGCAGAGCATCTGTGTTACATGGTACTGGTGAAGCAATGAGCAAAAAGAGACCATCATGTAGATGAATGTCCAGAGGGACGTCATTAACACGAGCATGTGTGTGGAGACCTGACCCAACGACATATCATGAAAGAATGACATATGGTGTGCACATCACATCAACTCAATTTGTGTGTGCAGCTAAATCTGTGTGCGCAGCTGAGTTTGAGGTACCAGGCACTTTTTGAACAAGGATGTAATCGATGTGTGTGCAGGTGAGCGAATCCTGTGTGCGCAGGTGAGTTACTTGTATCAAGAAATGCTGTGTGTACAGCTGTTCGAATCTTGCGTGCGCAAGTGAGGCGCCGTCCGAACCACCCGAATTGACCTTTCAGGATCTTCAGGCTGGATTGATTCCGGATTGTCCTGTCTCTTGCAGGTCAGACCGATTAGTCTGTGATTTCGTTTTGTCATAATATTCATCGAGCCAAAAATACATCTCACAACCTGACCTACCAAGCTCTGCTGTGCTAAGACACCAGAGGAATCCGGAATGCAGAGATCCGGTCGAATCCAGTCATATGAAGTCTTCACATTGATGTCCCGCTCCTGACGTTCACCTTCTGCGCTTTGAATTTTCTACATTTGGTGAGTTCCTTGCTGTTCACACAGAGCTCCTCTCCCCCAACAGCACCGCTACATGTTCGTCCCCAAAAAGGGCTCAGATCGGCCGCGCTGGGCCGGGGCCCCCTGGATCTCCGCAATGAAGTGTCGCACTCCACATCTTTTGAGCGGCTTGGCTGGAGATCAGCCATTTAAATGTCGATAGGATGAAGGTCGAAGGGGAACAGCCTTGGGGAAACAGCCTGGGAGCAATGAGCCAAACAATTCTTGCAGGCCAAAGAAGTTGCCTCAAGAAAGGCTCCCAGTCGTCTTGTTTGACTCCGTGCTCTCGACAGTTCCTGCCTTCCTGCTGCAACCTAGGTTTCATTCTGCTCAGTCATGCGTCGGCTTTGAAGTTTGCTGCTCGACTGTTTTCATTGAAATGTTTTCGACGTGTTTTGGACGTACCTTGGCAGTCCAAAGGCATCCTCTCGGCTGACATGCCACCTGAAAACACATATCAGAGCTTACCTGGAAAGCCATTGAAGGTAGTTGAGGTTTGGTGGCTTTTCCATTTGAATTTTCGGATCCTGTACCCTTATATGAGGAAGTTAATGACAGAGCCATACCTGGCCAGGACAGTTCTTGCCACATCCGAAATAGATAGTGAGAATCTTGCAGTGACAAAGAGAGGAAGATGAAGAAGGGGGTTGGCGCCCTGTTGATCCCTTTCTGAACTTTACCCCGAATCGGGCGAGATACTCCTTGAGAATGCACTGGTTTTCTTTCCCTGGTTGTCCTTTCATGTCCTTTCAGGGTGTCCGCACGTGTCTGTCTTGAAGGAATGACTGAACTTTCTTCATTTGGATTGAAGGAAAGGTTGGAGGTTGAACAGGTCCTGCATGCGCTGCATGCTCAATCCGTGCCACAGGGCAATGGAGTGAGCAGCAATGGCACAGCCTCCTGGCAGGATACATGCATCGCACGGCTGGTGGCTTCACCTGACTCGACAAGTTGAATTGAAGTCAATGAAGTCAGGTTAAACGAATTTTGACGCACAGAGCAACTCGATTGTCCTACGCTGGGGGCAATACGGCATATAGCAAACTTTAATCTACCAATCAACACAGGTGTCGGTTCTGCCGACAGTGCAGCCAATGCAGATGTGACTTGTTTTTTGCCCATTTTTGGCAGTGCTGCACTGCTGCCCTTGTTGCCTTGTTTTGGTGTATGTGGGACACCGTGTGGGCTGCTTCAAGCTCACTCAACTCCACCAGGGAGCAACTCCATTTTGCCTGAGGAAGACTGCACCCCGGTTCAGCCGGCCTTGAGCAGTGCTTTGATGAACACCTACTGTGCCAGCCTGAGATGTTGCGGACTCCTGCATTTCAGGCCATGCGACAGAATCAACAAGGATTTGATATCCAGGCGTTTCTTTTCTTTTTGAGCTGGGCATGGCTGAGCCTTGCTGATTTGGTACTGTTCTTAATATAAACAGCGACTCTTTTTGCGATCGCCTTAGTTTTCTTTGGACATGATAGAGCTGTTTCAGGTGAAGGCAAGCCGAGCCAGTTGTCTACAGCAAGGCTGGCACGGGCAGCTCATCAGCTGTCATCCCCACTCACCAGCCTATGATTTCACCTGGGTGGGCCTGGTAAGCATCTATGCGGCAGTCGTTATGACAGTCGCACTCTGCGAACAAATCTCAGCACTTCATCTCCAGTCTCCAGGTCAGATTCTAAAACATCCACGACAGACCGGGACAGACCGGGACTCCTCGGCTTGGAATCCCGATCTCAAAGGATCTCCATTCACGGCCAGTGCACTTGGTGGATTCTTCAACAACATATTGCGAGGGACGTCTATTCGTCGAGGGACGTCTATCAACTCGACACTCACTGTGCAGTCGACACGAAAGGCTTGTATTTTACTCCACGTGAGAGGTCGATGAAAGTGAAAAGCCACGTCGTCGGCGAAGTGGGCCACGGGTTCACCTCTCAGGGCCTGTGATGGCGCGATGACGGTCTTCTTGCAGAAGGCTTTGGCCAATTTTATGCTGCCCGGCGGATTGGCAGGGATCGTGGAGGATGCCTTCTCTCGAGGATTCTCAAGGGTTTGGTGGGATGCAATGGATGACGGAGCGCCACAAGCCATGGTTTTTTGGCAGATTGAAGGATGGAAGGGCTACTGGAAATTGATATTTTTTGGAGTCCCTTTTTCATTTTTTGGAAGACTTCACTATTTTGCCGGACCGTGGAACGTATATGAGGCACATTGACACCAATCTTCACCATCTGGGACGACAAAACTGGTTCACCGAGCAACTTCAAGCATTTGTTTGTCGTTTGCTTTGCTGATGTGAAGTGTGTAGGTCTTCTAGGTCTTCCCTTCGAGGGCACAGGCCAAAGTTATATGCCCCTACTCCCGGCGTATTTCAGTGATGCAGAATGGTAGGCAGAGATGTGGATCTGTGATAGGACAATTCGCATCCAGCTTGCCTTTATTTTTTCCAAGCCTGCATTTGGTATGTCTTTGTGCATGTGCAGCTCAGGGCAGCTTACATGTCAGCAGTCATCTTCCATCAATCTGAAAATCATCCCTTTTCCACTGTCCCAGCTTTAAGCGACACCATCTATCAATGTGACTCCTGAAAGGATGGAGCTGGGAGAGAGGCTGTTTCTTCCAATAGCATCACTACAGCCATCTCACATCCCACTCCACAGCATCACTATATACCTGGAGATCCTCGGGCAGGTTTTCACATGGTTTTGGAATCCCACCAGACTGTCCATCTTGGCTGACCGACGGAACCCGCGGTGACCGGTGGTCGGAACCCGGTCCTGAGGTTCAAAAGCTGCGGTGAGGCCAGCTGCGTGTTCGACTTCGATCAGCCCGACCAGATCGTCTGGGCCCAGGGGAATGACGAGGTGAGGCCCGTGAGGCCAAGGGCCAACTGAAGGAATCAGATGGAAGAAGCAAGTTTGAATACACCCAATGGGATTTGCTCTTGCCGCACTAGGTTGGTGACTTTCTTGCTTTGAGAAACAGTAGCAGCTTCAATTTTGTTCGAGGGCTCTGCCGAGTATGAAATCATCAGAAACTTCACACCCAATGTTCTATCGGCGGGCTGTGTGTGCTGCAGCAGACCAGCAAGCTTACGGGGTAAACGGCTCTTTTGTTACCTGGGCATACCTGGACCTTTGCATACAATGACTGGGTCCTTGGGAGTCCCCGGGTTCAATATGTCCTCTCATTTGTTTGGAAGAGCAGTCTCAGCTGACAAGAAAAACATTGTTTGAGGAGAACTTCTGTACCCATATGACCTGTAATTGCCAATGATTCAAGGGTCACTAGTCACTAGTCTTGCTCTCTGAATATATCACTGCATCGTCAAGGTCAGGCAAGAATCGAAAATCGCTGGGGGATGTCTCCTGACTTCATTTGATTTCATGTCTTATGTGCACAAAGAATCCCAAAAGAAGAGACCTGAGTAGAGCACATGAGACCCACAGGGGCCCTCACAGGGGCCTGCTTTCGATGTCCTTTCGATGCCTTTCGACTCACAGCTTGCGTGTGCGCCCTCACCGGCAGCACGGTGTCGTCTGAGCACTTAGTCGAACGAGTGAGGTCTATCAGTGGGATTCAAGCAAAGGTTGCTATGAGGCTGGAGGCGTGGCCGCACATGGCGGGGCCGCACATGGCGGGACCGACAGGATTATCACTGTCCAGGATATACTGTAGACATCCCTGGACCATATATGATACATTTAGATGAGTAACATGAGCAGCAAGAAAGCTCGTATAGATTTGCTCTTTGAAGGATCTTCCAAATTTGGATTTGGATTGATGCTGAGCATAGCTCCTCTTCGGAGCTGTGGGACGTTCTCCCTGGAATGGGATACAATTCTTGGATGAGAAGATCTGAAGGACACATTCCTACGAGTTTCAGAAGTGAACACTGACAGACCAACGGGGAAAAAGACCCCAGACGATAGAGCCGGGAGATCTCACCATCCCAAAGAAGCCATGGCTATCCATGGCGTGAATCTTCGCGTGTTGATTTCACGGCCTGGCCGTTTGGCCTGGCGAGATGCAAACGGCAGCGCAGGTGCAGGGAACCCTTGCTTTGGTTCTGTGGACCAAGCTTTGGCCATTAAGAAGAAGTCGAAGATGTGCCAGGCCTCAATGAACACCTGTGGCTCGCCAGCGGGTGTTAGAAAAGGAAGCTTGTGTGCAGAATAGAGATCACACATATAAATCATATAATCATAATACTATATCGATGGATCAAAGTGGAGCCACCCAGCCACCAACCATTGTCGTGTGTTCGCATGTGAATGATGTTGTCCAACCTGGATTCCCAGCGAGGGCTGACTCATTGTGACAGTCCTTTGGACGATGGGGATGTGATGGACTGCGTTTTGATGCGTTTTGTAGTGAAGTCGTTTTCGTTGTTGCCAGGACGCTGGATGCATCCATATGGTTCCGACCTTCAGCAATGCCCTGATGACGCGGTACTGTTTGAACCTTGGAATTCTATGCCTCAAGCTAGGCCATTCCCAAGACAGTGTTCCACTCTGTGGAGTTGAATTCCATGAGCATGTCCACCATGTTGCTGCATGTGCACCGCACTGAACCACCCGAGTGGCGTTGAACTGCCGCGCTTTCAATGGTCGCGCTGATTGATACATCGGGCTACTGATTCTACCTCAGACGGCATGCTTGTGGCATGCCTTGTGCCACCGGAGGTCACCAGCAACATCACCACCCCTTGAGGTGGCGACTTGAGCCGCACGGGCGAGGATCGCAGCATCACCGCGCAGGGCTGTGAAGGTGATGCTCGGGGTGGCCTGGGGTTAAAAGGGGCTGGTGAGGGAGGAGCAGGCAGATTTCTGCTTGGCAGAAAAAAGACTTCTTTGATCTTCTTCGTACTGATGCTGCTTGGGCTGTACATTTTGACTCAATTGATTTTGTGACTGATAAACGTCCTGCTGATTCTTTTTGCAGGGTCTAGCATGCCAATCCCATGCTGATGCGAGTCTCGTGACTCACGTTTTAAGCATCCTCACAGGGTGAGGAAGACCTTCCCAGTATGAAACCAATGGCGAGACTCATTTTGCACCACTGTCCACGCACAGCTTTCTTCCAAATCTCCACAAGCACTTTGTGGCAAGAGGAGCAAGCCAAAGTTGCTGTATCGACATGGAAGCTGTAGTATGGATTTGCTCTTAAACATGCCCCACGCAAGTGCCAAGCTCCCTTGTTCTTCGAGCTCGAAGGGTTTGTGTCTTCCCCGCCACGACCGGCATCGCGGTGGTTGGCCAAACATCGGCCAAAGTCGCGCCAGATGACACGATCGCGGTGCAGAAGTCTCTGGTGAATCACATGTCGGAGACCCATGGGTCTCTGTCAGACTGTCAACGGCTGAATAGTCAGAGGGGTCCGCAGCTATTGCTTGGAGACAGCTATGAATGAAGGCAGAACAGCTATTTGCATGGACTCAGCATTTTGGAGGATGGTTATACACACGTCTTGTGACATCTCTTTGAGTTCTCAGGTTCAGCCATTGTGGCACCTGGTGCATCTTCGACTTCGATGATCCTGCCATCTCTTATGGATGGTGGCCTGAAAAGAAGTGCTGGCAGCGAGGAGGCTGGGAGACAGACATGAGCAATTCTATGAAATCCTCGACAGCTGGAGTTCCAAAGTATTTTGTCAATAACAACGCATGAAATCTAATGAAAAAAATAAACCAAATGAAACACATCGCCACATGTAGTATGCCATAGTCATTGTTTGTTTCATTTGCCAGGCGCTTCTTCTGGGTTCTAGGCTCCAATCGCCACTCCAGTGTTCCAACTAGACTGGTGTTAAACTAGGGGTTCAAAGAGTTTTGTTCAAGGGTCCGGTAAAAGTGACCGTGTTAGAAGTCTCCGTTTGGATCCGTTTGGTGTCATTTCTTTTTCTGAGAGTCGTAATGTTACAGCTTCGAAGCATTTGAAAGTCAACCTGTGGCTTTGCCACAGGCTGCTGGGCGGCTACTGGTAATTAGGATGTTGAAACGATCAAAACTCAGTCAAACATGTTCAACACGCTGTATCGCCCCTGCTGTCGAACACTCTGCAGCTGTTCTCACAACCTCGCTTCCAGGTTGTGAGGGCCACCCTGAAGGCAGTGTGGCCAAGGAGGTCAAGGCCAAGTCTTGTGAGGTGCCTTTCCACCAGGGCCCCGCAGCGCATACGTGGTGCGTACGCGGCCAGACCCAAGATCAGAAGTGGGACATCAGAATCATGAGGGCACATGATGTCGGGTCTGCTGTTTTGGGGCAGGAGCCTTCGGGTGGAAAAGTGAAGAATTAGATCCCGCGCGAGTCCCGGGCACCGATCTTGGCTCGCCTCAGTTGACGACTACAACGACCACCAGCACCAGCACTTCCACCTCAACGACCACCACCTCAACGTCAACGGTGCGGGGCGCAGTGCGCTAGAGACCAAGCGGACGATTCTCGGTTCCCGGCAACACAGGTGGGACAAACAACGAATTTGGACCTTTGGGATCCTGATTTCTCCCCCACCAAGCAATAGAGCCGTGAATGGCTTTCAGAAAAGACGTCAAAAGAACATGCACAGGGATTACTTTTTGTTGAACTGCCTTTACAGAGGAAGAAAAGGGAAATCCAAATGAAAGGAAGTTAGTGCGTGGCGGATGATTGCAGTGGGGATATATTTTTCCGATCCCTAATCAAAAGACAACCAATTCATACCAAGCAAAGCACATTAATTCCGGTCCATCGTCCCCGTGGGCCACCCGCTTGGACAATTCTGTTTGTTCTATTGAACGGAAAACATCTTTGATATCATGTCATTTTTTTGCATACGGTATAATATGGCATAATATTCCAGGGTGCCAGTGCCTGTGCACTACTTCGTTGATCTTTCAGTATTTTCAAAAAGAATACGTATGTATGATTAATAGGTGGTGGTTAAAACCAGGAAAGAGGAGAACAACAACCCTGGGAGAAGACTCTTGATCTCCCTCTCTCTCTCTCTCTGTATTTCAACCTCCAAAACACTTTCGCGCAGGGTCCGGAGTATTTTGGCCAAGATTTTCTTTTTTATCAATGCCATAGTGCCATTACATTTGACATCAACCAAAGTAGCAACATTCTTAAACATGACTTCTGGATTCGGCTTAAAATCTGTGTTGATGACTTTCGACCGTAGCAGACCTCGACCTCGACCACGACCATCACAAGTACCTCCACGACAACCACGAGCACCTCTACAGCAGGGATCTCAGACTCGCGAGTTTGGGACACCAAGTCTGTCGTACAAACATCGTAGTCAAAGCAATAGTTGGCCAGCAGGGGTTGTCGTACACGAACCTCAACAAGCACATGATGCAGTGTCGTGCGATGTTGGAGAAAAAGACTCCTTGGTGGGAACGCTTTACTGTCAATCGCGAACCCTTCTCCGCTGGAACGCGGCTACAAAGAGTATTGTGCAAGTCCCTAAACATTGCTATGATATGCTATGACTATGCCACTTCCAGATGCTGGGCATATCTATTCCTGAGGTCACCAGCACCACAACCACCAGCACCAGCACCATCACCTCCACGACCACCACCTCAACGGTGGGCAGCTGCTTGTGTTTTCGGTTGAAATTTGCACATGGCCAGCCAGGGAGGTTGCTTTGAATCCGAGGAGCTACGGAAAGTCTTGTTTTTCAAAGTACAAATATTCGGACCAGGCTCTATGGTGCTTTAATTACGTTGATTCAAACTGATGTACGGTGATGTACGGAAGGCAGATGACAAGAACCCAGTCAATATGGACACTATTTTGTTGAATTGGCCGATCGTGGGGAGTGATCAGCTTGCGCCTTGAAAGAAAAAAGGCGCCTGGTCAAACCGGATTTGACCATTTTTGACGAAAAGCTTTGCAAGCAACCCCCATGGAACTGGTAGACTTTCTGCTGCAATATGGTGCCAGTCCACCAGCACGACTACGACAAGCACGACCACTATCACGTCTACCACGACCACCAGCACCAGCACAACAACAGCTGGGATCTCAGCCCTCTTGATGTGAACCGACACCATGGTGTCGAACTTGCAGACCTTTGGTGTTATTGTTTTTGAAAGAGGTTGATGTGAAGAATATCATTGAACATCGTCGTGATATTGGTTTGTGGGGTCATGTCAATGTCTGGTCTTGCTATTCCATTACTCGTGCTGATGGGGCCATTTCTCTGTGTGACCCTCAGCCACATCTGGAATGTTCATCAGGAGACCAGCACAACCACCACGTTGACAACTACATCCACCACTACTATCACAACCACCACCGCGACGGTCCGGAGGGCGTGGTACACTGCTGGGTCAGGGTTCGGTTCCCGTGAAGATTGTAATCGAAGAGGTGGTTGAAGAGGTTGTTGTACCATTAGAATCTAGTAGACCATCTGACTACATCTAGCTAACATATGGTAACATCATCAAGCCACCTCAATGCGGTAGAAGTCATTGTACGGAAGAGGCTTTTTGACTCGTGTTTTACAAGGTCAGGGTACTTTGAAAAGTGGTTCCAACATGGTGCCACAAGAACCCATTCCCGGCTTTCTCACATGGGAATCCTGGCTGACATGTCCCGGCTCTCGTCGGGATTCGCACGGAGTCATGCAACCGCTCTATGAAGGGCCTTGAAGCGAAATCAGGACTCGAACGGAGCATAACTAGAGGAATGCAAGGATTTATGGCTGTCAAGAACGCCCGGGAAAAGTAACTGTACATAGATCATCATGGAATCATGGATCAGACCTTTAGATATTTAATGAAGTTTAATGATATTATATATATATATATTTTATTTTTTTTTATGAATATTAGATGCTATTATACCTGAGCACTCCCGCATTGCTGCCATCCTTACCCATAGCCTTCCGGGCACCGTGAGCTTTGTGTTGCTCACAGCGAGCATCGCAGTCCAGGACCACCACAACGACCTCAACGAGCACCGAGACCAGCACTACAACAACCTCCACCAGCACATCGACCGTCAGGGCCAAAGCTGAGATCAGACCGACTTCGTTTTTCGATCTTCACAAAGTTTCGATGGTGGATGCACAATCCCAGCAGTTCGCAGGATTGATATGCCATGCTGAAGGCCTTGATATATGCCTTGATTGAACACTTGAGCCCATTCGATGCCACACACTCGTCAAGCAAGTTTTTCTGTAGTGTTTCAATCAGCTTTCAGCATTACTTTCAAAAGCATCCAATTTCCGCACCAAGTCTACCTCGACAACGACCACCACAAGCACCCTGACTTCGACAACCACCTCGACATCAACAAGCACCACAACTGTTTCGGCCTCAAGCATGGATGTCAGATGCGGCCTCCAAGGAATTGGATGGATGATATTCATATCCAGCGTCACAAAGACAAGTGCAAACAAATCACGGTTCATGATCCATCAATGATCAGAACTGAATTGATGGATACTGTAATTAGTTAGTTGTTTCTTGTTTTTACTTATTTTTCTGATTTTGGTGGTGTTGAGAAGCAATCGTGCTGATGAACTGTCGAGCTGCTTCTGTTTTCTCCCAGTCTTCGCCTTGCAGGATCCGTCTGACCAGCAACAGAAATTGTGAAGAAAAAAGGGACCTCCCCATAAGCATAGTCACTGGTACCTGTTTCGGTAGTAGCTGTCTTTGTCCACCGAGCTTATTTGGAGTGGACAAGAATGCTTGCAGGATAATGTGCTTGGTATCAGAACATTTTGGCGTTGTTTGAGAGATCATTTCACGTTGAGATAAACTCAGTGCCAATAGGTTTTTTTGGATATTCTCGGATATTCTGGGTATGGGATTCATTTTCAGAACCTTGGAATCTCCCAGATTTGTCTGGATATGTTGGATGGCTGGGCTGCTGTCTCTCAGTCCACCGTGACCTCCACCACGACCACCTCCACCAGCACCATCACCACAACGGCTCTGACCTTGGAAACGGCGGGTGATGTGATTGGCTCACAACACAATGTAGAGTCTACAACTCTGGAATCCACTTGCACTACTTGCATCTAAATACAACATAATAATTACAAATTGTTTGTCGTGCGTTGAAAGGCATTTTGCAGGGCAGGTGGCTACGAGTGTTTTTTAATGCAAAAAGATTCTCGTGTATTTTTGTTTGAAGTGATCAATGCCTTTCCAGATGTTCAGATCCATTTTTAGTTTCTTTCAAGTTTGGAGGCTTCATAAGCTTTTGGCAAGCTACGCCGAGCAACCGATCGCCAGTCCACTGTCACCTCAACGACGACCACCACCATCACCTCCACCACGACAACTACCACCACGCAGACTGCCACCACCTCAGTGATGGTGAGTGGCAATCAATGAAGATGTATGGAAAGACACCAATAACCGTTGAGATAGGGCAAGTTTTGGCCTCAATCCGAACTGCCTTCAATATTCAGCATGTCAAACATGTATCGACTTAGTTTATTGGACTCGAAGCGCTTGTACCCTTGCTTTTGCAGTCCACCACAACGACCACCTCCACCACGACGACCACTACATCCACCTCGACGTCGACGACCAGCATTACATCCACCTCCACCAGTACCACCAGCACAAGCACGACTACCTTCACCAAGACCACCACAGTGCTCCGGCTTTTTCAGGTTGTGTTTGAAGATGCAGAACCAGACCTCTTTTTTGTACTCCTGAATGATAAGATGATATGATAAGTTCTTTTTTGCTGAGGATATAGATGCAGGTTCTGAACAAGACGGGTGTGCATTCCCCCATTGCCAATGACTGATTTTTTTGTTTTTGTTTGTTCTATTTTTTAGTGTGCCCGCAATGTTCTTTCAAGTCAAAGATAATTTTGTAGTGACATGAGTGTCTTGGAAGACCTGCCTGTGGTGGCTTCTTTTGAAAGTATAAAGCTATGCATGTGTTCCGTTCCGGATGAGATGCCGAAGATTCCTGCATCCTGAGGGGTTACATCTAGGATCCTTGCATGTTTGAGATGGAGAGCCAACTTGTTGCCATAGAAGGAGATCTGGATTTGGGGCTAAGTTGTGAAACTTGTTGTGCATTTCCCGCCCACAAATGTCTTCCGGACTTGGCTGGGAAGCTTCCGAGGGTATGATTCATCGGAGGACAGACTACAGTACCGCCGCCAGCAATCCCTCGCATAACGGTGTCCTAAATCTATCCCAAACCTTTATCTTGTGTTCAAAAAAGAAGTAAACGAAGTGCCTGAGTCTCTTGATCTCCACTTATATTGCACATCGGCAACAACATTCAGCCTTGTATGATTCAAAGCTTGAACGACTACGGTCAAGTACACCATGGTGCTAAGTGCATCAGCAATGTTGTCTTCGCCAGTTTTTCTGACTGAGCCTAGGCACTGCCAGCCCCTTGGCGCCAGAGTGATGTGGGGATGAGTGCTTTGGGGGCTGGGGTAGCTTCTTTTTTTTGGTGGGATCATTGGGATCTTCCAAGCTTTTTGGAGATATATGTTTCATGATGTTTCATGTGATCTCCACACAAACTGACTCTTGGAGGTTCCCTGAAAGCTGCGGGTGTTCTCTTTGAGCAGTTTTTTTAGCCAAAGAGAATATCGGAGACTCCCCATTTGTCCTCTGTTTTTTTCCATGTCAAAGATAGCCCCTCCGGCCACGTCTCAAGGCGACCTGCGGCATTTGTGACCTGGAAGCTCCTTTGTTGGCTGGGCACTCAGGCACAGTGAGATGCAGCTGCCCTAAGAACTCCTGGCTGCTAGGCTCCCTTGACAACCTGAAAGAATTGAGGCATGTATACGTATCTAATGGTTACTAGTTACTATAGATAAGAGATCAGCAGCACTCTTGGAAACGTGTTCTTTAGCTGAGGCAGGGTCCTGGAGCCCGAAGAGCTCTGGTGGGCTCAGGTTGCAAGGACAGGGTCTTTTCCATGGGTCTCACATGCGCTGCTGGGTGCTCGGAAGTTCTTCGCTTTTTGGATGTTCCAAGCATAGCAAGCAAATATCATATATATATATATTTTTTTTTTTCAATAACATCATATGTATGTATATATATAATATGATATATATATATATCATATCTTAATGTACACCACCACACCTGCGAGCTCCTTCTCCCACCCATGCGCTCCGTGGCTCCTTTGATCCCCCCGCGTCCCGGTATCGACACCAGCCCAACCCAGCGTCCTCCAGGATGGGCGATCCAGCAACTTCTGGATGGCAATGAGATGACCTGGGAGCTGATGTGGCAAAGCAAGGGGAAGCCCAACATGGAGCATGTGTCCTCTTGGATTTGCTTCTGTAATCTGTTTGGAAGTGTCTTTAGCTCGGACTCTTCTTTCTTGACGTGCTCGTGTAGGTGTAGAACCAAACGAAATGGATTTTTGATGATTTACTGATATTTACTGTACGCAAGCAGATGATTTGAAGACCTTCTACCTTAACAGCACATAACAGCACAACGTTTTGCTTGAAGGTGTGGGCTTCCCATAGATGAACATGCCTCCCTTCGGACTGGGGCCTGGGGTCGACTGACTACCAAAGACTCCACCTCGCTTGCTTAAGACATGGACATGCCTTCGAATTGCCTTCCTCTACGGACACACACCGACACCTACACCCACCGCGATCTTTTTTCGGTTTGCCAGAACCTCAGGTATTTGATGGGCAGTTGGAATAGTGTGGGATCACTGGAGCCTGGCGTTTGGCTCACGATCAGCGGTGATGGGACCATCAATCTGATGGCAGTTCTCGATGGCGCCTCGGGTGGTCTTCGTTCTGCTCGTTCTTTTTTTGTGAGCGATGTTCACATTTTCATTGTGGGGGATTGACATTGACATTGCTCTAACACTCAGTCCTGACGTGACTGGTAGCCTGGAGGGCTTTCTATCTCTTGGTGGGGAAACTGCAAGTGTTTGTGTGCAAGCTTTTCTATTCAACAATGTACTACATTGCAAACTGCAGCACACGGTAATGTTCCGCCAGATGCTGTTCTAAACTGAAGGTGTAGCCGTCCTCAATTCCGAGCATTTGGCACGCTTCGGTCGGCTCCATGTTTTTTGTTTTTGAATCCGGCGGCCATGGTTTTGGATCTGCAACCCACTTGGCAACTCGCTCAATCAAGATTCGCCTTTCTTCGGCGGGTGTCCATTTTTTGTTCTCCAGGTTTAAGCAGTTGAAGCAAGAAGTACCTTTGACCTCACGCAGAATTTGCAGTGTCCGCGCTGACAGGTGATTTGAAGGAGTGGTCGCCTCAGTGTGGTGTCTAAGCTGCACATGGAGCGATGAATCAACGAAGTGGGGCACAACAGTTGCAAACCGGTTGACTTAGCGGGCTTCCGCCATTTCTGGCAATGGCTTCCCAACCTAAGTGTTTAGTGTAGGTTGCTAATCCGTGGCAACTTGAGAAGGAGCATTGATGCATCAATCAACGTCCATGTTTTGGTGGATGCGACCTCTCCGACCTCTCCTTGCTTGATCAACGACATGCTGAGGCAAAAACCTGCTGGATGGCGCGTGGCATCACATCGTCACCACCTTCAGCCGCAGCGAACGCTTCATGCGACTCTACGTCGATGGCTGTTTGGAGGCGGAACTCCAACGAAGCTACGACAAGGGACCCTTGGCATCGCTGGGGTCGGTCTGGCATTGCCAGCGAGATCATCTCGCTGGGACGAAGCCAATCGGGGATGACCGGATTTTTATTTGGAGCGTCTTTTATTGTCCGCATTTTAGCTTGACTGTGAGTCAGTTAGAACATACATGAAAAGACATATGTGAGTTTGTCATAGTTTGTCATCCTGTGCTATTCATCCGGCCTTTTTCGCTTGCGCAACATTAAAACAGGAGCACCGATTGATTATTTTCTTTTTTTAAATATTCTTGGCTCTTTTGCTAGTTGCGCTGTGCATCGAACTCGCTTGTGCTGTTGTGCATCGAGCTCGGCCTGTGAATCTGCTATTCTGAGCGTCATATTAAAATTCAGTCGATGCTCTGACCATTTCTCGATGCCTCTCAACCTTGCGAAGGAACCACGAATGAGCGATGCGTCATAGCCTCTACTCTGCCTTGCAAAGGTTGACGTGTGCAGCGAAACGAGGTCAAACGACTGGCCCATTTTCCCGGCCCGAATTGGCCAGGAAATTTAAGCTGAAAGCGGGCAATCTACGAAAAATGGTGCAGACCATCACGTGTAAAAGCAGGGAGGATGCAAAACAACATGTATCCACATGACTTTGCACTAAGGACTCCAGACCTGGAATTCTGGCTTCAACCCCACAGCCATGGGCCACCGACTCTTGTTGGGTCCTGGACATCGAGAGGCCAAAGGCAAGGCCTTTGAGCACGACTCCCGCTTTGGACGTCTCGCACTCTGGGACCGGGCCTTATCGCAAGAGGAAATCCTTCACAGGTGGGATGGGTCGGGTGGGGTCAGGTTGAGCTGCTAGTAGCTATTTGCTAGTAGTATATAGCTAGCGATGCACTTGTTCCTAGCTTCTTGTTACTAGTAGTCATGCACTTGTTCCTAGTAGCGATGCACTTGTAATATTGGAGATGGATTTGGGAGGGGTGAAGGTCACAGTGTCGTCACAGAGTCGATGGGCTCGGTGGATGGTTGATATCAATTGAAGAATCGATTGTGTTTCGACGGACCTCCTAGGTGTGGAACACTGCTGGAGGGTCACCATTGATTCTCGTTTGTTGCAATGATGGGGGTGCATTTCTGAATCCAAAATCATCTCTTGTAGCCTCAAGGGACGACCAAACAAACTTGTTGCCACATTCTTGGCCGATTCAAGACACATCCGGGAGTCTGTGACAAATCATTTGAGCAGTGGCCTGGTGGGCTACCAGGAATGCCGAATGCCGGCGGGATGGCTTGGTGGCTGTCTACCGCTTTGACGGAGACTACAAGGAGGGGAACGGGTCAGGGGATGTCAGGGACTGGATGGGCATTTGACACAGCTCATAAGTCAGTGGTTGTTTGGACCTGGCAAATGCTGGCAAATGGTTTTCAACATTTTTCAACATGATTCTCGTTCATGTATCACACATGGGTTATCGAGCCCGTTGGGATCACACGTGGTTTTCGGCTCAAATCGGTCAAGAAAGCATTCCTGGCGGGGTCGACCGAAAAGGAATGTCGGGGATTTAGATGCGCTTTGGAGGTGCTGGAAAACCGAAGACCTAGCCCGACCTGAACTAGACCGACAACATGACTCATCTTTTGGAGTGATGAAACGAGGCAAAGAATGCAAGAAACGACAGAGCATGACAGAGCTAATGACGGTCATCCCCAACTTTGAGAGCCTGATGTGGAGGGTTGAGGGAGCGAAACCAAAGTCCCACTGGAAGAAGGACAAATAAATTAGGGGTCTCCCATGGTCTCCCTATTTATGGCCCTCTACCAACAGGTCCTATATACAGGTTAGAGGGCCTAGTATGGCCCTCTAACTACTGTTACACTGTAGGTTAGAGAGGTAAATGCACACACACATGCAACTTTGCCGGAAATGGCGATGCGAGGACTCCCGGCAAAATATGCCCGCCTTCCAAGATTGGAAGGCGCAGCGGCCAAAGAACGAACATGATGCGGGTGAGAACTGGGGACCAGCTCGAGGGAAACCGGGCAAAGCACTCGCCTTTTTTCCTCTTTCCGTCAGGCTCCGAGTCTCTAGCTGCTTTTGGAAGGAGACTGTTAGGTGAAATGTGAGTGCTTTTCTGATTTTTTCTGGCCTTGACAAGAACGACCAAAGGGCTCGATGCATTCGCAATATTTAGGGGCATTCTTGGCTTGCCCTTCACCAGACACATTCAGATTCATTTCGGTTTACTTAGCAGAAGAACATCGCCTCTGAGTGTTGTTTGTGTGCACGTGGAGGGTGTTCATCACTTCAGGGAAGTTGCTTGCCATTTGTCCAATTCATTCCACGAAAGATAAAGCCGGAGCTGCTGTGATTGGCATAGACTCATAGATAATGTAGATCTTGAAGTATCTTGACATCTTGAGAAGTCTTGAAGCAGGATTTTTGCCGGGTGGCTCTATAACCACACTTTTTGTTGCATTTTTTCACGGCCTGACGGCAAAAGACAGCAGACATACATATATATATATATATTTCATCCAAGCACAACTTGTACATTGTACATCTTCATGTTCTCTCCATCTTCATTTTCTCCTTGGCACAAGCAACGCTAGAGAGAGTGATCGATTGATCTTGGCAGACTCCCACAGCACATGCTGGCAGACTCTTTGCGACCCTGTGGGCAACAGCTTCAGTCCAACCAAGATGCGTTTGGGGCGCAACACTGCTCTTCATGATGATTCCTCGAAATGCAATAACACAGAGCAATGACACATGAAGACGCTGCAAGCAGGGTGTGCAAACTTATGAGACCTCAAACCATGTGAAAAGAATGCGTTTCGTGTCTTGAGGAAAGGCATACAGGTGTGCCAGATATTACAAGATGCAAACCACCTCAACCATGATTTGCAGTGGATACCAACCTGCTGGCCCAGGGTGGCTTTGAGGACGAGGATGCTCCAGCAATGTGCGTATCTCGGCGGCCGAAAAGGAAAAGACACTTGAAGGGGAAATAAGACTTTGCCGTCGATCCCAGAGTTTTTAACATGGGAGCCTTTGAATCAATGGTCTTCCTAAGCCCCACTCTAAGCCGATAACATGGGTCACAGTGCAAGAAAACCACGCCAAGCGTTCATTCTCACCATCCGTACGTTTAGACCAGCCGGTTGAGGATGCCATGGGCAAAGGAGCGCTGCCTGCCGTTCCTTGGATGCGAGTGTGGGTGTGTGGCCAACGAAGGGGCCGCGTCAGTCTTTTGGGGCACAGTAGTTGAGCACTTGAGTTGTTGAAATGTTGGAGTGAAGATCCTCAAAGATGGGGACACATGGTTGGGTTCCCTGAATCATCCTATTGGCTTTTGCCCTCAATGGCCCGATGGCAAACAAATTGTACTCGTCCTCCGTGGCTAATTTATACCCCGTTTCTAGTCAGTCAGTTCTGTCTAGCAGTCAGGCACCAGACCAAAAGAAGAATTTCCAGTGGCACCTTAGGGTTGGATGTCCATTGGCCAGGGAAGGCAGGCTACTAAGAGTCAAACTTCTGTCAGTTCCTGGTGATTTCACAGTGCCCACTCGTTTTTTGGCTTGAGGAGTGATGCGGAGATCAAGCGTGCCTTTGGAAAACCAACAGCCGCCTGCGCCAGATATGAAGGTTTCAATATCTTTCAATCAAGCCTGACTCATCTCGTATCTAGCAATGGACAACCCAGCGATCATGTGGGTCATAGCGATATCATTTGCAATGGCATGCAAAAGCTGTGGTGAAGCCCCAAAGTCATACTCGACTCGCCAACATGTCGGATTCTCCAAAGGGTCAGCATCAATCCGGAGCATCAGCAAAGTTCCAGGAGACACGTGCAATACCCTTATAGGACCAATACCCAAAACATGCTTTAAGAAACCTAACAGCGATGGCCTCCAACCTACGAGCGATGGCCTTCAACCTAATAATTTTGATAGCGATGGCCTCCAACCTACTGTGAATCATTTTTTCTTTGAGCGTGTGTGCTTTCAGGCAGCCCGGAAGTTCAAGGTTGGCTGAACTGCAGCAAGAGAAGAAACACTGCATCAAGAGAAGAGACATCGTTAGCCGTGGGCTCTTCTTCTACAAAAGCTGAAGAAGATATGTCTGAACATTTGATGAAATCATTCTCAGTAGGATACGAGCTGCTAAACTCACAGAAGCCACGAGCTATCATTGACCCCATGTGAATCGTCAACCATGGGATCTCTGATTCTAAGCCACAGGACCAAGGACGCTACTAGGGGCTCCAGGCATCGCTACTAGGAGCAAGGATACTAGGGGCTCCTGGCCGTACTAGTAACAAGGACGCTAATCGTAGCTCCTGGCATCGCTACGAACGGACCAACAACTTTCCCAAACCCACACGACACCGGGCCGATCCCCCAATCCCTTTTCGCTAGCGGGCGCCATGCCGCAGCCCGTTCGCTTCGTGATTGTCGGCAGTGGCGCTTCTTCAAGCCTCCCCAATTTGAGGCTCAACGGGCCTTTAGGGTCTTCGGGCATGCAAGAGGTGAAATGATGCGGACCAACAGGAGGTGTACGCACATCTAAAGATGATGGACATTTTGTTCATTTCTGTTCCACATTCCGGTTGTTCCCGGATTCGTGTGTGGCCATCTTCCGACCAACGATCTACTTGACTCCAAGATGGCTACAGTAGATTCCCTTGAAGAACGCACGCAGGGGGATTCATGGGAACGGCAGACTGTAGGTTTGGGATACATCACTCTTCAGTGCGACTCTTGCCGAATCCAATGCCGGAACGCGTGAGGACATACATGGTTCCAAATGTAATTGGTTTCATGACGTATCAATGATCAAGGCATGTATTGGCATGTGCTGGGTCAAATCAAACCATTTGGACCTTCAAGCTACCTACCTGGTTTGCGCAGCCTTGGTTTGGTGCTTCTCAACACTCACTTTACTTGGAAGGCTACAGGCTACAAGGGAATGAAGCCATCAGTTATATCCGGTAATTTAGCACCGAACTGGGTGTGTGTATGTCTTAAGCAGGGGCGACTGAACCCTCCCGCATGGACAAGCAGATGTGACCAAACCTAGATGTGATCTTGTTTTGTTCGGCAGACCCATTATTATTATCTGTAGGCTGATACCTTTTGATAGGGACAGGTTTGGTTGCGCCATGCGAGGCATGTGCTCCAGCCAGAGGCGAAATGCCCAGTGTGCTTGGAGGCAGGGAAGTGCCAGCGATACTGGGAAATGTTGGTTGGACACAGTTGTGCCGCCTACATCAATGGGATTCGTAGGTGTTCACATTTTGCAGAACAACATGGTCAAAGACAGTCATCCTAAATAAGATAAAGATTTCAGCCTGTTCATTGTTTGGATGTGCTGGTTTGGTGTTCGGAGACCCGGATGTTGCCAGCCTGAGACTCAGAACTCCTACTCATACTCTTCAACTCTATGCCAGTACCGGTACCCAGCTATTCTTCACACGTCGTGTGTCAAGGCTGAGGTTTGAAAGACCAAGGATCACAATGCCAGGAGCCCCTAGTAGCTTCTTGCTCCTAGTAGCGATGCCCTTTGCTCCTAGTAGCGTCCTTGCTCCGAGTAGCGATGCCAGGAGCCCCTAGTA